ACAGCACAGCATGGAGAGGCGGTTCCTGGGGCCACGGCCACTGGGTGATGTAGGGACAGAGCCCGGCCCTGCAAGTCTCACCTGATGAAAACTCTCACCAAAAGAGCCTCGAACTACCAGTTCAGCCACTGCACCAATACCAGACCTAGGAGGAGAGGGCTTTCTATTCCCACTTCTGTCTGAAAGCCATTTTGTTACCCTCATCTTCATCTCCTTCACTAGAACTCGTTGTTCTGACATGGGGAAGGCAGAGAGCAAGTAAGAGTCCAAACGGCCCAAGGTGTAGCTTGGGACCAGGGGCTTCGCTTGGCTCTCCCTGCAAGAAGAGTTGAGACGAGATGGCCACAGCACACTGGTTTGTCCCCCTCATGGCTGGGAGCTCCCAGTCACCCCTTGCGGTGATCCCAATGTGCCACAGCCAGAGCGTGGTTGTCCCACTCCGCACGGTCAGTCTGGTAACGACCCCCAGAGGTGGGACACAGCCGGCCCAGCACCGCTTTCACCTCCCACAGTCAGAGGCAGATGTAAAAGCATCCCCAGGTCCAGACAAGCCACGGTCTTAAGATGGTCCCGTTGGTTTTTAAAGGCAAATTGGGTTAAAAATCCTTATGCGGGAGGTTAGCAGTGGAGATGTATGCTCATGGAGCTCTACTGGACTCCGCTGTGAGGGGCTACAACACACTGAGGTGACAGCTCCTGGTGGCCAGGTCCAGCCTGAGGGCTCAGGCAAAGCCTGACATGGACACTGCGACATCTCTGTGTCTGGCAGCACCAGTGACTGAAGCAGAGTAATACCAGCCACACAGCTCTGCTGGGACCTGTGGGTGCTGAGCGGGTCCCACAGCACCCTCTCATGGAGACATCTGGGCTGGATGTGTCAGGAGATGCTGGTGGCACCCTGCGTCCTGTCCCCAGGGCCCTGGCTGGACCTGCTGCTACTGCGAGCCCTGGCTCAGAGACCTCCAAAGTTCAAGTGCCACACAGAGGCCCTCAGGGGGTCCTGCCCCACGCTCCTGATGGGTTCACAGCCCACGGACCCCATCCTGAGACCTACAAGACTGCTTTTCAGGGTCAAATTGCTGGCAAAAGCTCCACAACCGTTTCCTGAGAAAGCTTGGTCTGAGCGAGTCCAAATCAATCCCGCAGCGGGAGCCCAAGGGGAGCACTCGGTGCCGGCACTGCCCCAGAGCAGGACAACTGGGACCAGCCACTGTCTCCTACTGGGACCAGAGGTGGACTGCGTTAGACACAGTGACCAGGACTCGGCTACCCCTGGTAACGTGAAGAAATACCAACCTGGGCCGAGCCTCCTTCCTGCTTTTGCTTCTCAGGCCGGGTCTCCCCGTCAAAACACTAAATTGAACCTCAGGCAAGCGGGGCAATCGTCTTCTCCTTTCCCTGAGCTCCTTAGGGGGCCACCGCGGTTTCTTGTCCCTGCACCCTGTGCCAGCAGTGTGCGCTTTCTACACAAGAGGGAGTTGGCAGAGCTGCTTGTGAAGCTGCACTCGGGAGCATGGGCCCTGCCTCAGGCTCAACTCACAGCGAACGGAAGGTTTTTTGCAAATATCAAAACCAATTAAGACTCAGCAGCAGCGTTTATGGTGTGCATCTGCCAGCAATTCCACCTCTCTAAACAATCCCCACCTCCGGAGAGGACGGTCACAGCACAGAGCAGGACAATTGTTAAGAGAGTCCCTGTGGTATTTAAGAGGAGCAAGAAGGGATTCAGCCTCCGTGAATAAATCCCGAGTCTGGCTGAACGCGGACGTCAACCTACACAGCCAAGGTTGCACAAAACGAAACAAGAGCTGAGCAATTTGCTCTCAGCTTGTTCCCAGCATTTCAGACAGGGCACTGCGACACTTGGTGCTTCTTCAAACGGCATTCACATCAGAGAGAGAGCTTCCCTGGCAGGGAATCAGAGAGCCTCCATAAAACAATCCCATCTGGAGGATCGATACCGCCGTCCCCAGCTCCAGCCAGCTGCAATCACAGCGAGGGGCGAGCAGAGACAATCCAATTAACGCCAGGCTCAGAAAAACGGTGCGGAAGGACGCGGAGCCCAGCGTGGCCGAAGGCAGCAGCATCCCGCAAGCACCCAGCCAGCACAGGGAGGAGGATACTGCTGAGTACTCATTGCATGCCTCTTCAAAAAAAAAAAAAGAAAACAGAATCCTTATGCGCATTAAGCATTTCGATTATTAAGGCAAACATTGTTAAAAGTGTTCCTCTAGTAAAAACATGTCTGTTTTTCCCCTTTTTTTGCATGAGCCTTTAAATGAAAAATGTTTGCCTCAGAAGCACTTCTGCAAAATTAAGGTAACCTCTGCCGTGCACATCCCCAACTGCCCCAGGCCTCCTTTCCGCACGGTAATCCCTCGCATCTCCCAACTCTACATCTTTAAAATCGACTGACAGGGAAAAAAATGAGAACACAATGGGAAGAGAGAACAACACCAACGGGATGAATTTGGAGCTGCATTTTTAAAATCAAGGCACCTGGCAACCTAGCCTTACGCACCACCCAGTCTAGACCATTTTGCAGGCAACGGAAGGACGTCCTGAAACCAGGTCACAAAGGGAACGCTGGCTTCACAGAAATTGCTTTTCCAGATAAGGAAGGCAAAGCCTAGAGACACATGAAACATGAGTGAGGGGACACACGGGTGCACACATAATGCCAACCACGTAAAGACCGCTGTGGTTACGTGACACGTTAGCAGCTAAGGGGATACAAGAACTGAAAAATTGAAAACAAGGACGCTGGTTCACACTATTGGAGCTAGAGTGAGCGGGAGAAGCTCCCGTGCCCGTGCTCTTGCTCCATTCCCCACCAGCAGCAGGGCGATGGATTATCCGCTGTCGAGTCACGGTGGTGCCCAGCCCTTCTGCCGTGTGCCACAATCCAGAAACCGCTCCCAGCTGAGCTCGCATCCTCGCTTACGCACACAAACAGCACGCGGCTCCTCTGCAACGGCAGTCAGAGCAAACCAACGAACCCAGGGAGAAATGCGCTGCACCGGGAAGCACTGGGTGAAATCTGTCAAGCTCTCCCTGCGGGGAGCGTTTTGACGCACGCGGGGTTTTGGTCACGTCACTGGGCAGCTCCCCTCGGCTCCATCGCTCAGGGCAGGGAGCGTGGCAGCCTCCTCTCCTGCAACAGCAGACCTGGACGTGCTTCGGACACCCAGTGAGCACAGCCTGGCGCGCGCGGAGAACCGCTGCCTCGGTTTTCTACACCCAGAATGAGCTGTCAGAGCCATTTTCAATCAAAGCATCGAGCTGCCTATTCGGGGAGTCAAATTCTGGAAAGCTAACGCAACTTGCCTCCCAGAATCCTCCCCAAGGCAGGACCTGGTCACAAGGACAAATTGTGTCAGGCCAGCAGACCTCAGCCCCACAAATGCAGGTGTTTCAGCGTGCTGTCACGAGCAGCAAGAGCTGGTTTTCATGGATAAAGAAGGCTTGAGAGAATCAAAACTCAATTCAAGCCAGAAATTTTACACCCAAATTTTAGTGACCTGAGGGACTAAGTTCTTTCTTTAAGCTGTAACTCACCGTGAAGAAGTACAAGATCACATGCTAATAATGATAATAATAATCATCTACAGCAACATAATGGTTGAAGCCATCTCAGGAGCGAACAGCTCAGTCCCGCAGGGTCACACACAGCTCCCCGGTACATCAGCGTTTCACAAACACATGAGTCACCCACACACACCCCCCTCATTTGCCACGTGGACAAATGAGACACGAGAAAAAGAGGAACGATTTTAGGGAGAGGAGGAGAGTTCACAACCCCCTTCACAACACGGGACATGCGGTAGCGTGTTTGAACCAATGAGGACAGTGTGGGGTTTGTACAAGAATTTCTTTCAGAGCAGTTGGCTTCTCTTCCTGGACAACAGTAACCTCTTAAGGGGGAAAACCAGACACAAGTTAGAGGCATGCATTCCTGAAATGATGTTTTGGATTTACTGTACCTGTGCCACACCTGTGACAGTTAAAGCTACCCCCTCCGCCGTCTCTACGTCCTCACACCTGGGCTGTAACGTCATTATCTCTAGGGAAATCCTGCCAAAAAACGTAAAATATTTGCACGTTTCCAGGTAACACATACTCAGCTCTTCCCTTTGCATCTCCTGCCCCGGGCTACCAGCCGCACTTGTCACAGGTAATGTAAGACAGGCCAGAACTAAGCCGAGGGACTACATCTGTGGCTGGAGACAGACAAGTCCCTTCGGCCAAGAAACAGATTTGGAGATAACGCTCAAAGGCAATTTATCGGCAGAGAAAGGCTGCAAGCCAGACTGGAAATGACACCGTGACCCTTTCCCTTCCGCTGGGCTGGCGAGGTGGCCAGAAGCCGGGAGCTTGGGGACCCCAGGAGAGCCTCGCTGTGCCACTCTGCCCAACGCCGGGGCAGCGCCTGCCCTCGCCTGGAGGTGTCACCGGTTTAAAAGCACAGCACGGAGCTGGGACGCTCCCGGCTGCCCTGGTGCTTGGCAAAGCCTGGCGCTGATGCGGCAAGGAGCAGCCCTGCCTTTGTCCTCGCTGGGTCAGCACTGGCACAGACCTACCCTCGATCTGGTTCACTTCTCCCTTTATTTCCCCTGCGTCCCGTGACCTCAAGGCTGAGAGAAGCGAGTCTCCGGCTCTTTAGGGACATGCCTGTATGGTATCAGATCCCGCAGCTCCAGAGCTTTCTCAGTGACCCAAGGTGAGCTCAGGGTACTTTGGTCAGACTCAGCAACCCACAGGTCGTGACTTGGTAAAAGAAGAGACGTGCTTGGTAAAACGAGGACCTGGCCACGGCAGGTTCTGCTTCAGGAGGCAAAGCCTGGCTCTCGTGTCAGCCACAACAAGTCAGGAAGGCGTCGGGAGTTAGGACAGGGAGCCATAGGGCAGAGAGCTCGTGTCAGTGAACATTAGGTCAAACCTCTGAACCATGAAGGGGCTGCTCTGGGCTGCTCCGTGCGTGCCCAGTCACTCCAGGATTGGCTGCAAGTACCGAAATGCATCTCTGCGAGTTCATGCCTGCCTTGGCCACTGTCCTAATTAAACTGGCACGCAAACCAGGAGCTGATCAAACAGATCCTGCTGTCCAGGACGCGCACAGGCATTTTTTTGCCATATGCGCGGGCAGCTTTAATCAGCTGGTGCGGGATTTTTAGCCTTCTGAAGACCTATTCCATACTTTGAATTTAAATTCAATGCTGTGCTGCTCCTTAGTTGGCAAGTCACAGGGATGTTTGGTAATTACTGTTACACTGGTTCATAACTGCTCACAGCGCAAACGCTAGTCCTGTACATTGCAACTCATCCGAGGTCTCTATGCTGTACTTCCAAATGTGACAACATCCAAAAACGGGTGCTGTCTCCCCGCAGAAGAAAAAGGGCTGTGTGGAAATCCAGGCCCCAAACTGCCCAGCCAGGTAACAGCTGCAATTTCCTCACAGGCGTACAGGTTCCCTTCTGAAACGGCACAAAACCTGCCTTCCCACCCACCCCAAATCTTGTACAGAACCTGACCTGGCCTGCTCGTGGCTCTGCGTGAAAGCAGATGCCCTTCTGCTCGCCACCAAGCAGACGATGGAAACAGCGCTGTCAGGGAAAGGGTTACAGCCGGCGCGAACGTCTGCAGCGTTATCAGAAGGAGCCAGTACAGCAAGGCTGAATTTGGAATTTGCCAAGTACAGCATCTGTCTGCATTACCTATAAACTGTGGAGTGCACCCTGGGGCAAGTGCCGGAGAAAGCGAAGGAGAGGAGAGTATTGAGATTTCAACTGTCCTGTTAGAAAACCATTAGTTTTTTTATGTTATCCTGCTGCTGCTGCTGCTGCTGCTGCTGCTGCTGCTGCTTAAAATGGGAATGAACAGTGAGACACGATGTTAGGAAGCTGGTGGATTATTACCTGTGCAACCCCTGTTACGTACAGTGGGACCCCCTCCGACGTCTCAATATTCTCACAGCGACAGAGGATGGTCATAACCTCCAAAGACACTCTGAGCAGCGAGGAATAAGGGTAGGACAGCAAATATACAGAGCAGTTAGAGGCAAGACACTCATTGCAAAGGACAGACGAGACTTTCAAGTTTCAGCTCTTCCCTGTTCAGTTTGCCTTTCTCCCACTGCCCTTAACTGGGCCAGAGCAGCTTCTCTGGTCACAGCCAGAGAGTTCACAGCATCCAGCTGCTTCTTTTAACGAGGATCAACAGGCTGGGGGCTCGTCTCCACCCTGTGTCACCAGAGATGAAACCAAACTAGGTGTCCCACCTGGGCTGCCATCCTGGGGCCAGCTGGAATTCTCTGCTGGAGTATTCTTCACACACAGAAAAGTCCTGTTTGCAAAAACTTAGATGCTTCTACGCCAGCATTTAAGAGGGGATATAAAAACGAAAATACCAGCATCCCGTCTACCCACCCCTGGCTAAAGCATTGATGAGAGAAGGTGCTTCCAAGCGCTGTGCTGAGAAGCTGAATGCCATTTGGATCCCACAGAGGCATGTAAGACCACGCTGTCTCTCTTGCTGCTTTTATTTCTCACCATTAAATAGGAATTTTTTTCTTTCTTATTTTTCTTTCCTCCCAGTCCTCAAGGTTGCAGCAGGGTAAAAGCCCAGCACCCTGCCAGCTCTAACTGTTCCTTTTGTTCCCAGGTTAGTGCTACCTGGCGGGATGCCGCTGACAGCAACACAATCGCTGCTGTCTCTCTTGCTCTTAGCACTGGCAGTTCCAGAAAAGATGTCCTAATTTCAGAGGAGGAAATCTGCCTCACTCTTCATGTTAATGCAGAGGGCTCCATCTGTGGCACAGCTTATGCTATTTGGGAAAGGCTCTGTTCTCAAAAAGAGAATTAAGCCCCATATCCCATGGCATGAACAGGGGGTATAGATTTGAAAGTAGAATTTGTTTAGGTGCTGGCATTACGTTTGCTGAATAATGCCCAGACCTCTATCATGTAACAGCTCACTCCTGGCAAGCAGCTCTTGGCCCTGGACTCAGCCTTTGCTTAACTCGACAAGTCAGCCTCCTGACTGCGTCTGTTATCTCCTGCACACGGCAGGTCAAGGTCCTGCGCTGTCCTCTGGGCTGCTCACACACCAAGAGGAGGAGCAGAAATCATTCGTTCCAATCAACAGATCTCCTAAGGAGATGTCTCCCCGAAATTTGGGAATGAAGCCTGCTGGTCTTAATCACTGAGCCCACAAGCCAGGCCTTTCCTTCCCCTCCCGTGAGCATCACTAGAGAGCCCGGGCTAAAGCAGCAGATGTTAGCTGAGACCTCTTCACACAGCTGGGAGAGGAGCTGAGAGCTGTTGAGAGTCAGTTGGCAGCAGCAGCAGGCAGGAACCCCCTGCACAAAACAAGCTGCCCGACCCCCCGTGAGCAGCAGCCTCGGCCGTGGATCACCTGCAGAGCAAGGGCAGCAACGCGCTCACGTTGTCTGGTGGTGGCAACATGTGAACAGGGAAAAAAGAGGTGGCGAGATCAGGCTGTAAAGGTTAAATACAACCTCTGTCTGTCACTCAGTGCAAAAACCCAAAAGTCACGTCTTTATCCTTTCTCCCCTCTTATTTTTTTACACAGAGGAGGAAACCTGCCTTGGTGAGCATGAGGGAGGTGTTTTGAAAGAGCAACATTCCCACAGATCCTAAAGACAAAGAGCTACGTTAGCAGGACAGCAGCACCATCACAGCACGTTAGTTCAGAGACCAGCGTGGTAAGAAGCAGCAAGCAAAATCCACAACTAGGGCAAGAGAGAGAAAGGAAAGTCCACGGTTTTAAAAAGGAACACGCTCTGCCCCCAAGGTGACAGCATCAGCATATCTTGAGAAAAAGGGACTCGAGGAGCAGAAGGGGGCCCTGGCCCCATCGCATGCCACAAGCATTGCTTGCTACTGGGTGAGGGTTTGGGCCATACTGGGCGGGCAAGTCAGCTCCTCTTGTGAACTCACGGATGAGCCAGCCTGGCAGCCTCGCTGCCCAGCACCTCTGCGAGAGCCTCGTAGCCGAGCACCGCAAAGGGGGTGGCTGAGGAGAGCAAATGCCTTCCTCAGCAGCCCTTTCCACTTGGTGGGATTTATGTAAATAAAAAAAGGAAAAAAAAATCTGATTGCTTGGGGTTTGAGGAAGGGTGTGAACAGAGAGGCCATCTGAAAAGTGTTACTCCGTCTCCTGCTCGCAGCCTGCCTTTGAAGGAGATGATGAGCCCAGCGGGCTGGGCTGCTGCTCATCCATGGTTTCAGCCGCAGGGACCAGCCCTGCGTCGCTAAAGACAGCGCTGACAGCCTCACCTATCTCCCACCCCAACCCCACAAATACCGGGAGGTGTCCTTACCTTTGGGTGTCAGTAACGCACCACCAAGCCCAGGCCCAGCCGCCGAACACGTAATGCTTCACATCGGAGCCACAGCAGCCACCTGCAGGGTGGTGGAAAGCACGGAGAGAGGGATTACAGGAAGGCACGTCGCTCTCGGCCAGGGAAAAAAACCCCACACCCAGGATCATGAGCAGAACAATTCACACTGAGCCTGCCCAGGCTCTGAGTGCTGAGGAAAGAGCATCCTGGGGGGGTCACCTGTTCCTCCCATCCCCTGGAGCAGAGGAAGCGCCTCGGCTCAGATGCGTTACAGCAGCCGGTGCTACCAAGCCAAGCTCTGCGGCGTGGCGCAGAAGAATCCAAGCCTGCTTACAGCGTCTGACAAATAATGAACGCGGAAAACTCTTTCAAGATCCACAGTGGCCCTGGAGCACCCTTCGGTTGGCCATGATGCAGCCGGTCACTGGGAAACCCAGCGCTCCCCTCAGCTCCAGGGCAATTTTCCAAAGGCAACCTTTTTTAATCAGAATTCTCTTACAAAATTGGAAAACAGTGTTTGTAATAATTCAGTACAACAAACAGCAACACACAGAAAGTGACTGTATTTCAAACCAGGATTTTATTTTAGGTTTGTTAAGCAGTTTAAGCACTTTTAGCAACCAGAATAGTCGTAAGGACGTCCTTCAGTACCTTTAACCGTGATGCACCAGCTTGGTCATGGAGAGCCACGTAAGAAACTCATCTCCTTTCTCTCACCCTCCAGTGCAAACCACCATTAAACCCACCAAAAGCACCAGCAGGTCAGTGTTGGAGGAGGGAAGAACCCCCGAGCTCCCCAAAAATGTCTCTTAGTTGTGGCTCATGCAAGCACGGCCATGCCTGAGGCTTTGGTGGCCCATGAGAGAGCCGGCTGTGCCCAGAGCTTGGGCAGCCTCCAGAACTCCTCCGACACATTTAAGATTTGACCCCAGTGAATCCAGAAGACGCTGTCTGCATTTTCACATCTTTAATTTGAGGAATAAGACACCTGCTACCATTCAGGGGAGCATCCCCGCCAGTGACCAGCCCAAAGTTTCACGCTTGGCAAAGGAGGAGCTCTGCAGCTCCCGAGCTCGGACCAGAGCTCCAAGCTCCGCTGTCTCCTGCGGATCACTGCCAGCGGTTTCTCCCTGGCCTGTTTTCCATAATCACACTTATTACAGCAGCGCCCTGGGGCCTCAGCAATCGCTGTGGGAACCGCATGATAGCTTGGGCCCTGCAGGATGTGTCCGTGTAGGCGAGGCAGCGCCAGCAGCGAGGACGAGCAGGGCAAACGCGGCAGGAGCTTCGCTTTGGGAGAGGGGAAAGGGAGAACTACGAAGCCAGCGGACGGCAGCCACAGAAGACAGCCCTTTCAGGAGTGACGGCGATTTCTGAGTTTGCTGCAATAGGTCTAAACGAAGAAGGAAAGTGCACACCCAGGCCAGCGTGCCAGCAGGGCTCTGTGGCCCGCGGGAGGGGACTCTGTCCTCCCCATCCTCCTCCTCCTCCCCATCCTCAAGTGTTTGCACACCTGCTATCAGCTACAGACGCTACGTGCTTCACTGTCTGGAGGAAGTAAACACAAATGGGAGACAGATTTACACACTTTTTCACCTCTTCTGCGCTCCACAGCCTAGAGGAATATTCTGTCACCTCTGAGATAGCCTCTGGATAGTTTCTTCCTGTAGCTGGGAGATTACTCCAGCCGGGCAAGGAGTTACAGAAGCTGATGACACAACACCCTGCAGCACATTAACCGCAACGCCTTTTAACATTTCTTGGAGGACGTCAGCTCAGCCTTTTAGCCAGGCCCTTGTTTTCCAAGAACAGGAAGGGAGGTGTCCCTGGCAGTCAGGAAAAGCAGCTCCACAAGGAAAGGTATTTTATTTCATGGGGTCTATGTAGTCCTCACCAAACCTCTGGCAATTGTGTCTTAATAATGTTCTGCGAAAATTCTGCACCCTAAACACATCTCCACATGGATGTTTTCCTTCTTCTGTGGGCAATGCAAGGAAACACCTTATTTAGCACCACATCCAAAGCAAGCCCTGTGTTTGCTTCCCAGCGTTACGCAAGGTTCCTGCACGGCACAGTTTACTAAGCAAGTTTGTATGTCAAAAAGTGTTCAAAACATAAGAAAAAAAACAGGGAAAACCAACACATTAAAGAGGAGCCAGTCGCCTTGACGCAAGCCCGACATCTGAGCGCAGCAGAGCTCTGTCCTGGGAATGCCAAGTCGGAGGAGCTGAAGGCTCATTTTCCATTGCAGTCCCACAGCCTCTTTCCCAAGTCTCAGCGAACGAAAAAGGAAACAACAAAGCAAAATCTTTGCAAGGCTAAAGAATAAACCCTCTTGCACAACGAGATTTGGCAGAGAAATTGCCTTTCCCAGCTATAATACGCTCGCTGTTCTAGCGGCCCGGTCTCACAGCCGCTTGGCCGTCGCTTCCACAAACATCCATCGTCCCTTTTCCGGGGCTGTGCACAGTGGCCGGGCGCTCCACAAACGGAGGATTCAGAGCCAGGAAGCTGCCATCCAGCCTGGCCCCTTCCCAAAAGAAGGGGTCCCATGTTCAAGCAAGAATTCCCAGAGCCAGGAGAAAGCATGTTGTCTTTTTTTTTTTTTTTTTCTCCTTTTAGTGAAACGAGATTTATCGCTCAGGATTTTGTAGATAAATGGAGCTTTCAGCAGATACAGGAAGCTGCTGCCCTGATGGAAGGCAAGCAAGAAAGAAAAGGAGCCTCAGCATTTTTGGGGACACGGGGCTCAAAACATCAAACCTGTGGGTGTGAAGAAGCTCTGCGCTGTTTGCTCTCCCAGGGTAACTTGAGGCAACGAGCTTGTACTCTGGCAGGAAGCGGTGAGGCCTCAGAAACCTGGTTGTGGGTAAACAGGCCGCTACGGTAACTCAGTAACTATGTTCCTTCCCAGAGGCTGGGGGGGGCGGGGGCCAGAAGGGG